TGAAAGAACACCAACGTGGGTGAAAGGCATAGACAAGGAAAGCGAGGAAGGGAAGAGGTAGCAAAGCATACGTAAGAACAATTTACCTGTGAATTGAATGCAAGCCAAGTCAGTCAGCGCAGATCTTAATATGCCACAGACAAACCTTATTCCCCTTTGGGGCACGGGCAGTTACAGACCACTCACGTGCATTGAGTTGAATGGGGTTTCCCGAGGCTCACGGCTCCACACCTGCGAGTGGACGGGGTCGGGAAAACCCCCCATTTTTACAGTATGTTCTCACCCCGGTGGGGGTAACCCAGTAAGTATCCAGTAGGATACCTTACAGCCTTACCCCCCTGGCCCCCCCCAAACCATGTGTAAAGGTAACAGGTTGATAGAGTACATGTACATAACACAACATATCTATATGGAGTGGTAGAATCAAGACCTGAAGCGCTCTGCCGTGCCGCGCTTTTTTGAGAAAAATATGCAGTGCGGTGATGTCCCGCTACAGGTCAAAGGCGCTCTTGCTCAGCTTTCAAGTCAAAACCGCTACATAGAAGATGCAGCGCCGCGCAGTGTCTACTTGCTCTGGTCCCACTCCAGTCAAAAGTTCGTGAGAACAGCGGAACAAGGTGCCACAATATTTATTTTCTGATTGGATCTGGCTCTTGGATTCAAATTCCACAAAGCTTTCCAAATTTGATGATACCGGAACTTGCAAGCGACTTGCAAGTACACAAAAACAAGAGAATCTTCTTGTATTAAGATACAAGATTCAAAGGGTTTGTTTACTGAGATTTCAGGTTGAAAGTATCCAAGTGCTTTTGGAATTACATTGATTGAAAAATTTGGTGGATTACCAACTATTACTGATTTTTAGAGTAATCCCGACTGATTGGAGGGTTGAAGGAGTGATCAATATGATCAAATGGCTTGATAATCGAGATGAGAAACTGGAAGAGGATGTAGGTATCAATATCTTGTACTGAATTATGGATATCCGCATTGTTAGGAATCCGTTATTGGCACAGTTCAAAGCTACTTCAATTACAAGACAATTAACCTGCTCTTGCTTGACGTTCTATACAACAACTTTTCTTGTGCTCTGGGGCACATACATATGAGGATATACCAAGATCAATGATCTTTGCAATCTCTTCTTATCCCACTTTGGTATTTTGGGGACTTTAGAAACACTGTGTATCCCATTTGTGTTAGGTAAGTCACTGTCTCTTCATAGACAACAAGTTGGCAATGAATCATCACAATGTGAACAGTTCAAATCAGATACATGTGGCTTTTGGGGAGGGATCAAGGGTAAATCTTGCTATCTGATCAGTTCCATTCAACACCTGGTTTGTTCAAGTGGTATCTGTTGAATGTTTTGTCAAATGAATGGCTGTGAAAGGGTGTTGTTATAGGATCAGTAAACGTGCAGGGAGTCAAGCAATACTGCAAGGGTTGATGATCTGTTTGACAGAAACGTATAAGTCCCGCAGTGTACCACTGTGACCGTGGTTTGCGGGGCAAGCCACGCACCGCTCTGCTATGGTTCTAGACACGCTACATGCCAAATAAAATGGAGGAGTGACGGCGGAGCAATTTGACCCACTACAGCAAATTTCTAATAGCGGTGGCGGAGCGTGCCGCACCGCAGCCGCAGCGGAGCTCTTCAGCTGTTGGTACTATAAACACTAATTGTTCCTTTACTGTGGCAATATGCTTCCTCAGCAGCAAAAATCAAGATCAGTACAAGTGGGCTTTGTTGAATCTAAAGGAAGTGATCTTCCAGAACAAGGACAAGACAGAAGCCTCTTCAACACCAAAAACCTTTGTTACTGATGCTGAACCGGCACTCTTCAACGTGATTGCCTCAGTTTTCCCCAACTCAGTGCACATCCTGTGAGGGTTGGGTGCTCAACTGAGTACTCAAAGCTCACTAAATGGGCAAGGGATGGTTTTAATTTTTAATAATTATTTTTATATTTCAATCATAAAGTAGTTACAATAGAGATGTACTAGAGATAGAGGAAAAGAGGAAGGGGGGACTGGTCTGTTTGGATAAATCCAACAGACTTCAGTTAAATGACTCCTTAAAAGGAGATTGTTATAGTAATTATAATCAACTATAATTAATGAAAACTGGACCCAGGGTTTTCCTTCAAACTTTTATTGACAGAATGAAGAGTGAGGTGAAGGTCACTAGACTGCTTGTTCTTAAAGTCACCAACTTGGGGTTGTTCTTAAGGTCACCAACCTGAAAGTAATTGTACGTAGGTCACTAACCTTGGGTTGTTTGAAAGTCACCAACCTAAAAGAGTTTCTACTTGGGGGAAGTAGAGGATCCAGAGGGGAGTGAAGAATATAATACCTAATTTTGATCAGGAAGCTGATTAAAGTTGATGAAGCTTATTACTAGTCTTCTTTTATATATAAGACTCTCAATTTTTTTACTAGTTGAACTATAATTGTTCTTTAAAAGTTGTGGGGTAATTATTGCTTGGGGGGGAAATCTCTGAAGGCTGAGAGAGGAGGAGTTCATATACTCTCCTCTCTAAACCAAACTGTAGTGATATTTGTTTGTATCACTACAGTTGTTTAGGGTTTAATTCCTACTCTTAGTTATGATTATCATTTATACCCATAATTACATATACATGTTATGTAATTTATGTTGTATAAGCAGTTTAACTCTTGACACTGAGTTATGAGGTGTAATTGGTGTTTTATTACATATTACATATGATTTTGTATGTATATGTATATGTAATTATTGTTTACATGTGTTCTATTAAGAGTTACATGTGTTTTTCAAGCTGTATGTACATGTAATCAGGTTTTATAAGTGGAAATTGTATATTATAAGTTAGTTTTGGGTACATGTATATGTACCCAGGGCTGACACATCCTTTGTATCTGGCACATCAGCCTCAACATAGCCAATAATTCCAAGAGTAAGTTCTCAGACGCCTAGTGGTCTGAGTTCATGAGGTTATGGAATACATTTGTCTCATCCTCCACTCACCCCAAATACGGCACTAACCTCGCAGCTGTAGTTAAAGTGGCCAGAGTGCATTCTGTATTTGTTTACTTGAACAGTACTCGGCTCTATCAAAGAAGAAATTTATCAACTTATTCACGTCTAAGACACACCACTTCGGTAATTCTTCAACCTCACAAACAGAAGGCAGTCATTACCATGCAAAACAATTTTTAGACAGCCGTAACAACAATTTTTTAACCTGCTTCAACACATTCAAGTGCTTTGAAGATAATCAAATGAGTGAAATATCTATCTTAGTATGTATTGAAATGACAAAAACCCTTCAGGAACTTCCTGTGTTCTTCAAGGATCTCAACGGGGTAGTATCCCACTTTGCTCTCAAAAACCTCAAGATCCAATATGATTTGCTTCCGGACTCACTCCAGACTCCATGCACTCAAACTTTCTGAGGCGCATGGGCACTTCCATGTAGCCACGAGTTGGCTCAAAAACGAGACAACCAGGACTTCCATTGCCGGATCTGATTCACATCCAATGGAAGCTTGCAATGGAAGAACCTCCGGCCTCCCACGAGGGACTAATGGAAGCAGCACGACACAAATTAAATCAGCTGCTTGAGCTGCCTGAACATACACTCTGGAAACTCTTCAGCAAGCTCACACTTCTGGAAACCAGCTGCTACTCTCTTGTCCCAATTCCGGACGCCAAGGTGAAGACTGACACTCAAGGCCAGCCTTGAGCCAACAATGACAAAAAATCAGCTTTGATGAACAACACCAGTCAATGGAAATCTGACATCAAAGTCTTGTTCAACTTCAACCCCAGGGACCAATATGTGACCAGGATTTCTGGATGTGCATGCCCTACCTTGGCTTCGTAATCGCAAGTGCTTACAATCACCCAGTTATCTGTTTTGATTCACTTGAAGTCAGTTCATACATGTTTTTCCCATATTGCACAATGCCCAACAACAATGATCCTGTAATCCTGGAGTTTGTCAACCATGAACATCTCATCGGTTTGGGTTGCAGGCCCCAATTAGTGCCTTTTTCCTGAAGTATTTAACCAGACTCACTCAGCCACTGTATCTCAAATACCGGAGTAAAGTATCAGGTTAAATGGGTTGGTGGGCAAGACATGATGAGTTGGTGGGGTTGAGTTCAGCTTAGTTTTATTGATCTATACTTTTTCACTCTTTGTTTATATTCTTGGATTGGTTGTCAATTGGTTCCCCTTAGTTTTATTGATCTATGGTTGCTAGTGCCGAGAAGCGTCAAATCTCGGACCGGATGTTTATCAAAAACTACACTTCAAGACAAGATTTAGTTATGTTGTAGAAACCAACTAAAACAAGAAGTTCAAATATTGAATTTCCAATGGCATATTTGGATTGCCATTAATGTCAGGAGTCCAACAGTATCCTTGGCTCCCAAATTCAGTGAGTTTTGTGGCTTGGCCTCAAGTTGGCAGAGTAGTACTCGCTGGTCCGACCTTTGACGCTTCTCGGCACTACCAACCATATACTCTTTCATTCTTTGTTTATATTTTTGTATCAGACGTTTATCTGTTCCTTTGGCCTATCCATGTTCCCTCCTTTCAATACTCTGTCTGTAAGAAGCTATGTTGAAGTTATGTTGTAACTCACTCTCTACAAACGTGTATGTTATGCTTACTATGCTGTGCTGCAATGACATCTATGATATTTTTATGCAAATCGGGTGTGTGAGCAACTCTGTGCACCTCAACAGCGAGCTTTTGAAATCTTTACAAAGTTGTGAAGGTGTAGCCCCTTTTTTGCCCGTTGTTTTCAACCAGGCTACGATATATTTGTAGCCCTATGTCCGGCCCCGGGATCGGGCTACGGATAATATCCGCGGGCTCGAAATAGTGGGATCCTTCAAAATATGTTTAATTTTGGGGTATATTTGATTTATCTCTCAAAGGTGCTCACAATCTAAACAATATATATATATATAGAACAAACTATAATCAAAGGAGTTCATGAACTTATTTAACCTTTGATGAATCTAACACCTGTGGATCATCAAACCAAGCAAAACACCCAAGATTAACAAGTGCAAAATAGCAACATTCGAGAGAAAGAGAGATATCTAACCTTTCTCAATGTTCTTCTTTAACTCAGGTAAACAGGCCTTGATCAATACTTCTGCATCAGCACTGATTGCTCCCATTGGTAAGATGTTCTTCACACCATCTGGACCAACTTCGACATTGCTCGCAATGTATTCGACACCCTCTTTTTCATATAGAGGCTACGAACGAATGTAGGTTCCACAATACCCTTGGCACCATCAAGAGCCTTGAGTAAACTCTCAGCAAAGATAGCGGCAGCATAGGCCATCGAGAGGGTTGCTGAACCGGATCCATCCTTGGCTTGAACAACTTCATCTCCACCAAATTGGATTCGCTTGGCGAGAGGCTTGTAGGCTTCGCCGGTGACACCCTTGCCCTCGGAAAGTTGGGAGAGGAGGGGACAGATGGTCACGCCAGAGTGGCCACCTACCACTTGCACGCGTGTCTTCTCGGGTGATGAACCAGCGATAGATGATAGGAACACAGAAGCACGGACAACATCAAGGGTAGTGAAACCGAAAAGGCTAAGATGCAGAAGGTATGGAAAAGGCGAAGACGTGAGTTGAAGAGCTGAAATCTGGACAGAGATATGGAAGCGAGTGAACGGACCGTTTGTGGTCAAAGACGCCAGCTTTCTTGTAAACTTGACCAACGATTGGGACGGTGGAGTTGACGGGATTAGCGATAATCAGCATGTGTGCCTTTGGGCAAACCTTGGGAGCTGCAGTAGCAAGGTCTCGAACGATCGAGGCGTTGGTCTGATGACACACAAGATCACGTGAAATGGAGTACATATCAGAGGTTTATCACCGAGTGGTCAAAAACGTATTCAAGTGATATACTAACGTTGAAGAGGTCATCTTGGGTCATTCCTGGTTTCCTTGGTACACCAGCTGGGATCAAAACAATTCCAGCGCCATCGAGGGCTTTCTCATGAGGCCGTTGTTATCAGGTAGATAACCTTTGCAGGTTGCGGAAGTGTTGACATGAGACACATCCTGTTTTGAAAAGTACGCAAGACACCTTGAGATTGGGGCCGGGCTTTGCTCTCTGAGGCCTAAAGAAGCGATTATCACTTACTGCGGCAACACCGGGAGCACCTCTGACATCGTAAAGAGCGAGGTCAGATACCAATGAGCTCTAGAGTCAAACAAATATCCAGGTAAGCTCCTGTGATCAAAATCGAAGTCCAATCAAAACTGAAGAATCGAGAAAGTACCTACTTGCTTCATGAGAAGACTGAGGGGCTGTCCAATTCCACCTGAGTCAATCCAAGATTTTAGAACCAGATTCCACCAGTCTTAATTTGAATTTGAAAAGGAGATTTAGAGGAGCTCTTTTACCAGCTGCACCCAAGACTGCTACTTTGGTGAGACTTGATGATGAAGATGACAAGAAACGTGTGGGAGAAGCAGTGCTGAGCCTGAAGGCCGGTCGAAGAGGGGTTTGAAGGGTTGCCAACATGATGGTGATTTGGTTGGCATAGTAATGGTGATGATGGTAAAGAGGAAGGGATTTGTGGTCAATCGATCGATCGATGATTTGATTTACTTTACTGTCACATATGTAAACCCCCAACCCGTTCCTATCTTGCACTATTCGCTAGGGCACTGATAGCGTAGCTGGATCATCATTGATTCTGCTGAGCATCCTCAATGATTTAATCATCGTATCATATCAAGAATATCTGAGAGATAGGCTGCTACTGGCTTTCTACTAGACTTTACAAGTGGTACAGTATAAATGACTGATATTAAAACTCAAACCTGACCTACATCTCGAGTAGAATTTGTTTTATAGATATCATAGGATATCATACTCTACATCTCGCACAAAATTGTTGACTAGAGTCTTTAGGATAGGCTGCATGAGAATCAAAAGATTCAATTAAATGTCAAAAAAGATGGGTGTCACAGAGCGAATGTTCAAGTTAAGATGACTATAAGAAACTAGATGCCTAGGTAAGGATTGGGGAATCGTTCAAACGGATTGACCATGATATTCTTGAAGAATTGCCTTTTATACTGTTCTTAGGATACCACGACATGACCAAGCACCTGTTTTGATGCGATCTATCACTTGATATACTCGCAATTCTTATTGTTCGCAATTATCGCATTCTAGAAAAAAAAGGGTTCTCTATCAAGCAGGTTTTGAATGATGAAAAACTATGACTTACGGATGATTGAAGTTGGGTGGTCAAACCCGGTGCATGTATAAAAATGTTTGCCGTTCCAAGCAACTGAACCATCCACACGCATAAAGGTTTGATAAGAAAGTCAATGAGAGGCTTGGAAAACAAAGATTATTCACGAAGAAACTGACCAAATTTGTGTATCTGAGGCTCGTATCTATACTGGTAACATTGTTGTTTACTTACGGTTTTGTCTTGAGATTGGTAGACCTGGCATCCCACCATCCCAATCATTTTGTCTAACATGAGGAAATAGAAGATAGATGCAAGATGAGCAGCTTTGCAGTGCCAATTGAAATCATGAGGAATGAATATTGGTTTGTAGAATACTTACTGTTACTATTAGAGCCATTTTTACAGCTTTTTGCGCTGCACTTTACCCCGTAGGTGTCTGACACTCTGCACACTGTAAGTGTGAGGAGTTATGAAAGAGGTCTATCTTAGCCATGGGTGTATATTATGCTGGGTATATGAGCCAATTGAACGAGGGTTTGAAAGAGATTCCATACATGCTTTATCATTAACAAAGGTATACTCTGTTTGGCACGAATAAATCGTGCCGTCCCCCGCCTTCAAGCCAATAATGCACAATGAGAGGAGTAGAAAGGATATCTTTGGAAAGAGATGAAGCATTTTTTTCGAGGAAGAGAGAACGATAAATTCAAATATGGTATTCCGACTTGCAAGACTTGAAAAAGAGCAAGATATGATGAAGAGATGGTGGCCCGGGAGTGGGAGAGACATGAACTGGAATTTTCATCTACATATTTATATGGCATTTGCTCCTACTAGCCGACGCTTCCGCTCTCGGCTCAAGGGTGTTGCCACCGGCATGTGGAGAGACGTACGGCAAAGAAGTGCCACCCACGTGCAAAGACTCTTGGGCTTCTCCATCTTGGTTTTGAATACCTGGCTTGAGAATTGTGGGTTGGTTTGCGGTAGGAAGGTATATCCTTTGAGAATTGGGATACCTTGGGCATGCACCATGTGATCTGTTCTAATGATTGAGTAAGTACAGTCAATTTCACAAAGCTTGGAAAGAATTCCGCGCCAATTTGCTCAAGTTTGGCGGGCAAAAGTTTCCAAACTTTCTGCAATCGACTGTATGTAATTCAAAGGTCATCGAAGTTGAGCGACATGCCACGGCACTGGAGAAGGAAACCTGTTGAAACTGCTGGACTTAATTTACATATCACAAAGCGTATTTTTTTTGTCTTTTAGGTGTAGGTAACGTAGGTATTTACTGATGGGAATATCGATATGTTAGTGATATGTAAATCTTTTGTTGCAATTGTTCGGGTCGGGTTTTGTATGAGTTATCTTGTGTGGTAAGATGACATCATACGTTTTCCTCTTTACCAAATTTTCGTTTATTCACCGAAAATTCTTCTTTACCGCCTCTACATTTTTCGATAGTTCCATCAGTTTTAGTTCTTCAAGGATACTTTAGTCACCCACGTTCTAAGGTATTAATTTTTTTGAAGGACATATCCTGCTAAAAAGAGACATATATTCAGATCGTCTTAAAAAACCGCCCTAAAAAACCGTTATCTAAAAACCGTCAAAAATTTTTCATCCTGTCTATTGGGAATGTCAGAGGATGGCGTCGATTATGCAGCAGCTGCAGACATTACGCTCAAGCTCGACCAGCTTAGAGAAAATTATCTCTCGTCCGGGGGTGCACAAGTGGTGTCTTGGTTGGAGCTCAGAGCATCTTTTGCGAGAATTATTCCCTACCTATCACCGAGTTGGTACAGACACTGGTCTGAGTTCGCGTATCCATTGGCGTTCCATGACGGTCCAAACCCCAGTTATGATTTTAAAAACCAAGATGAAAGCGAAGGCTATCCTCCAGACGGTTTTGATGGTGTTGTTTACCAACCGGCAGCTTCAGGAATCGCCAATACGGGCAATTCTAACCAGACCGATCAAGCTGTTCCAGCCGGTCTTCAAAACGTCCCTCACCAATCAGGACAAAACATATCGAACCAGACTCCTTTCGAACAACAATTACCGGGGATCCTCCCTTTGGGAAATGCTACGTCAGAGGACCGTTTGGAAATGCTATCTATGGCAAACAAAGAGGCTCAAGAGACCATTCGAGTTCTTTTGGCTAAGCAAGGAGAGAAAGGTCATCGGCATCATCACCATAAGCATCGAGATGACAGCTCGGATTCTTCCGATTCGGACGAAAAAGAAGACAAGAAGAAACGAAAGTTCGCGTTTATATCAAAAGCGGTGCCTATCTCGGATGTCGAAACTGTTTTTACGGCGGGAGCCAAAAAATTCGCCGACAACGTTAAAGGTTACGAATCCAATATCGCGTTGGCGGTCAGGGAGTTCAATCGTGCTGGGAAGCCAGCCCATTTCCCTGAAGTCCTATCTAAAGAGTTGTTGTTGGGAAAATTCATTGATGTTCGTCGAATCAAAGGAGAACTTTGTAATAGGAAAAAAGGCAACATTTCCTATTCAACAACTGGTAAAGAAAAGGGACTGGAGGTTTCGAAACATCTCACTCTCAAAATCGACGATTTGGCTGAATGGCAGTACTATTTCTCAATCCTCAAGAAAGCTATCGAAATGGGTTTTCCGGACTGTGGAAAACAAATTGCCGACTACTCGGATTACATCAATTCGCAATTCTGGTCGGGTCCGATTCGTGCCAACTGGAAGAACATCGCCGATTACGACGCGGCTTTCAGGACTCAAGTGGCAGATAGGAGATATGTTTCATTCTCGGATTGGGATCATAAGGACTTTGATGTCCTTAAGACCCAGTACTTTGGTAGTAGCTATTTCAACACTGCTCCTAATCTCGCTCATTCTGGTTTTTCCTTCTCTAGAGTATGTATCTTCCTTATTGATATGTTTTTATTGAAGGAAGGCTCATGATATATTATTGCAGCCTTCGTTTCAAACACCTTTCCGGCAAAAAGGTGGTTTTCAACAAAGTTCGAGTTCAAAACCATCTAGTGGTGCTATCCCATCTGGTAGCGCTCCCAATTATGTTGCAGACTTTAAACATAAAGGGATTCATAAGATTACGAGTTCTAAAGATGTGGGAAAGATCTCGGAAGAATATTGCTTCGCGTATAACAGCGAAAGGGATTGTCCCCTCGGTGATAGCTGCCCCCGCTTACATTTTTGTGTTGGTAGAGTTTTCGTTTCATTTTCCTATTCTTTAAGTGAATATGAGTAGTTTAATAGAAATGGATACTAACATTCGAGTTTTCACAGAACATCCGGGGATGTGGTGCAAAACACCGGGGATGCCATCACACCTGAAGAATACACGTCGGAGAAGTTCCTCCGAGGATATCAATGGGATGGGACTAATCCGTTAGGTTTTTCAGCAGCCATTGAATCAAGTAGATACGCTTTGCCTTTTCCAGACGCCCCTTCGCTGGAAGATGACGAAGATGCAAGATACGCTCTGAAACAATATCACTACTTATTCAAAGTTTCGACTCCGTTCAACATTGACAAGATGGAGCAATTATTGAAGCTTCACCCAAATCAGGCTTTCGTAAAATCAGCTATAAAAGGTCTGAGGGTTGGTTTTTGGCCATCTTCTTCAAAACCGGATTCAAAAATTGTGGAAGTTCCGAATCATCAGTCATGCTACGATAATCAACAACTGCTAGAAGATCAGTGCGAGGAAGAGATTCAAAAGGGAAGGTATTCAGAGGAATTTTCAACTTTGATACCTGGTATGAAAGTGATTCCATTGCTTATGACTTCTAAGAAGGATTCTGCGAAGATGAGGGTGTGTTCTAACATGAGCGCGGGGAAGCCATCTCCTAACGACTTGGTGGATAAAGATAAGATTAAGGTGTCGTACGATTCTTTAAAATCCTGGATTCCGTTCTTGATTGAATTAAAGAAGAAACACGGCGAAGTTACAATTTTCAAATCCGACGTCGAAGGTGCTTTCAGAACCTTGTCAGCGCACTTGCAGTATCAAATGTGTCAGATTCTTCGAATCAGGAAGAAGTTCAGAGTGGATCATAATCTCACTTTTGGTTCATCGGCTTTGCCTCACATATGGTGTGGCGTGTTTTTGCTGGTATTATGGATCGCGGAAGAGGTATTTCACATCAAGAATCTGAATTGTATGATGGATGATGTGTGGGGAGCTGCGGCAGGAGATGATTGGATTACGTTTAAGGAACATCGGATTCCGGGTCCTCAAGCCAAGCTTCTCATGGTTTTTGATATTCTGGGAGTTCCGTGGGTTTGGAAAAAGCAAGTTCATGGATCAGCGCTCGAAATCATTGGTCACATGGTAGATTCTAACAATATGAGTATTTACCTGGCTCCTGATAAAAAATTGATGATGATTGACAAGATGAAAGAGTTTGTCTCAAAACCTCACCATTCTCTTTGTGATTGGCAGTCATTGCAGGGTTGGATCTCGTGGGGTTTCAACTCCATGCCTTACGGACGTTATGCTTTACAGAGTCTCTATGAAAAAACAGGCGGTAAAACAGGACGTTTTTTACCAATTCATCTTAATAAGGAAAATCAGGACGATATTCGTTGGTTAATTAAGTATTTCGAATCCTCAAATGGTGTCTTAGTCCTGAAATCTTCAACCTGGTCGGCGTTTCAGGCGGATTCTCTCTTTTACGTTGACGCTTGTCCTACAGGGATCGGGGTCTGGAATCCGAATGAAAATCGGGCCTACTATCACAAATTACCGTTGCCTTCTCGCCACATTTATTGGGCAGAACTCTTAGCGGTCATGGCAGCTATCGATCTCGGAATAAATTCAGGTTCCAGTCGGATTTATGTGCATACAGATAACAAAAATGTCTTTCACCTGTTCAACACGCATTGCCCGAACCAACTGATTCGTCCCTTGTTTCGATATATTATACAACGAGTCGTGGATTGTAAGGTTGAAGTGAAAGTAGCGCATATTCCGGGTTTGACAAACAAATGTGCTGATCAACTCTCTCATACGTTACTTGAAAAAGTTAGGAGAGAATTTAATCCTGTATCAATATCTCCTTTATCGATCGATCCGGTTTTAGGTGCTGGTGGTGTAGAAATCAACCTTCAATTTTTCAACAATCCCTCGCTATCATGGCGACGAGGAGAATAACCAGTCCAGTTCATAAAATTACGGTAGCACAAATAAAAGCGTTAGCGAAGAAAGATCAAAATTCTACCGTAGTCTTAAGAACGGTTCAAAAGTATATGTGTGGTTTTCGTAGTTTCTATCGTTTTTGTACCCAATTCAATTATATTTTTAGACCAGACTGTCAGTCCTTGTGCAATTACATTGCTTACACATGTTTAAAAATTTCGCCCAGATCGGTACGAATCTATTTAGTAGGGATAGCTTTTATTTTTAATCAGAAGTTTCCATCAATCAAGTGTGAAAATCATTCAGAATTAGTTAAGAAAACGATGAAAGGTTGTCTCAAATTGTATTCAAAGCCAGTCAATCGGAAGGAGCCTCTTACCATCATCCAAATAGAATATGTGGTGTTGAAATTAGGGTCTTCTCATGATGACAGGTTATTTTTGGCAATGCTTAGTGTGGGGTTTGGTGCGTTGCATAGGTTAGGAGAGCTTACAGTTCCGGATTCGAAACGGATGTTCGATTCTAGGAAGATTATCAGAAGAAGTTCCTTCAAATTTTCGTTGTGCGACAGATATCTTCAGTATTCATTACCTTATTCAAAAAGCGATTCAGGTTTCTCTGGCGTTCCAGTTATTATCCAATATTTCAGCAATTCTCAAGCATGTCCTATTATTCGTATGAAATCGTACTTACGGTCTAGGGATCGGTTATTCCTTTCAAAAGCTGAATTAGTTTTGACTTCAGGAGGCGTTGTTCCGTCCAGGTCATGGTTTTTGAAGCGGTTCCATTCTCTTTTCGACAAAAAATTCTCAGGTCACTCTCTTTGGTCTGGTGGGGCTACTGCGTTAGCTCAAAGCGGTGCCAGTTTAGAGTATATCCAAAGTGCCGGCCGTTGTGGTGATCAATTTATGGGATCAATTAAAAAATTCACAATTACCAGTTTACCAGTTTATTAGCAGGATTCAGCAGGAAAGAAAATTCGAAATGGAGGTTTTTGATCAATTGAAGCTCTTGTAGGCTTATGTATTGGTCATTAGGTCAACATTACATCATTTTTTATTTCACATTATATATTAAGATCATTATAGTTTACTTACAAATTTATTACAAAAAGAAAGAAATAAAAACATAAGAAAAATTCGAAATTATAGGTACAAAGGTTGGAAAATGGTTTTTAGGTTAGTAAAAATAAAGTTATGGGTATTATGAGGTTAGAATATGAAAGAACAACATTATATTATACTATGACAATTTTAATCTTCAAGGTTGATAAGTAGAAACAGAAGTTATTAGGGAAAAGGCACTTTTTCGAAGTTGGTAAACAAGAGGTACACGTGTAGTTTGGTTGTGTAATAGTGGTAGTGATGGAATTTAAGGTTGCCAAGAGGATTTTTCGGGATTTTTAAGGTTATAGATGATGATGTCATATTACAAGAGCAAGAAAAAGAGAGTAGTAGCTGTGAAAAGTGAAGAAAATGGGTGAAATTCGTGGAAAATGGAGGTTTTCAGCTAATTACATATGTCAAATGACGTCAGAATAGGTTGGTAGATGGCTCATTCAACGCAGAAGAGTGGATTACATAATGTACAAACTTTAAATCATTAGTAATGGAGGTGTGTGTAAAACGTTATAAGGCAAATAAAGAATTGGTGTGAATCTCGAATTTACAGTCACAAGTCACATGTAACACTAAAAACTTTAACTTCACAACTCAATATCTTACTCATCACTCATCAGAAGTAGGTCATGTAGGTGTCAGAAATGATCAGTAACACGTGGGCTACAAGATGCACTTTAGTAATCAAAAATTGGAGCACATCTGAAAAAATTCGTAATCTCAAAAATTGGTTTTCAGCTAGTTTACAAGGAAAAAATCACCTGTATTCATCATAAGAAGTGCTGTACATCATATTATTGCGTCATTGATCACTTTTAGCTGTGAAAATTACATCATTTATTAGTAACAAAATCATATCCATTGCGTCATCATAGGGTTTTTAGGGAATTTTGGGCGGATTTGATTGGTTTTGAGGCTGTTGACCATTGTAAAAGTTCTAGTACATTGTTATATATACTTTGAGAGGGTTTTGGGACTGTTGTTCCCCTTTTTTTCTTTATCATTTACGCCATTATTATTTTGTTTATCATTATAAACTTATTTTAATAGTACCTGGTCACTTAAATACGCCCTTTATTACAATTATAAAGAGAAATTTACTTTAGTTTTATAGTCATAAAGACTTATTGGGAATAATATCAATCAGATATTGCTTATTTCTTTTAGTTATCAATTGGGAATAACACTATAGCAGTGTTGATAGTAATACAAAGTGTGCTTTTGAAGTTAAATTACGTGTGAAGATATATTTCTCTGGTGCCTTATCAGTACTCAATACAACAGAGCTCTTTCTGATTGTGTTGTTTTAGAAGAGCAGTCCTTAGACAACTTCTACTAGTCATTTTATTAGTGGATTATCCTCTTCCAGCTCTGTATAACCCTTGTTGGGTTATAAGTTCTACACCGTTGGTCTTCAGAGGCGTTTCGAATCTATGTTCGGGGTCATGTGGCGTTAAGGCTTCCAGAGTCACAAAATCATGTGATTGGTTGTCCGGCGCATGTGGGGGCTTCTGTTAGTTTCTAGTTGGTGAGTGTTTGTGAAAATTATGGCATTTTCTTATTCATTATTTGGATAGAAATGTGTAATACTTGGGGTCAGGATTTTTTCTTCGTTGAAGAAAAATCTCTGTGGTTGAGCGTTGAGATTTCTCTGGAAATTCTCAGGAGCTTTTTCTTTCTTAATTGAAGAAAAGTTCTTTGATTGTGCGGTGCTTTTCGGTTTTGAGAAAGTTCACTGACTCTATGTTTCTGTGGTTAAAATGAATTGCGCCTTCTTCCTCCCCTCTTCACCACTCTTTGGACTACCTTCTTTTATAGGCGGGTCGGAGAGGGTGTTGTTGTTGTGGTGGTCATGATCAATTCACACGTTTTAGCCCAGTTCTTTTAAACAGTTTTTCTCAGTCTATTTCCGTGAGTACCATGGGATATTTCTAGGTGTAGGTAACGTAGGTATTTACTGATGGGAATATCG